TAAAAAATAAAATAAAATAACAATATAAGGTACTTAGGTTTCTCTTTTTATGCATTAAAATATTCTGCATATATTCACTCTACCACTAAACAGCCAACTCTTAGACTTCTTAGACTATTAATGTCAACAACATAAAATTTTTAACATTATTTAAACTAGATAATATTTCAACGAAAAACACCGGGTAATTTGAGCATGCTCATATTACACAAAAATGGAACATTTAAATAAAGTCAAAACTAAATGTTTCTATGCATTGTTTTTTAAACAAAAATGAATTGGATTTTTAGCTAACATATTTTTCTTTATAAACAAATTAGTTTTATTATTTTAACTCCAAAATTTGGCGCCACAGATTTATTCGATTTATTTGGCGCCACAGATTTATGCGTGGTGATATTATTTTCACAACGCAAAAAAACTAATGGCGTTTTAATTAGATGATAGCCGCTAATTACTGCATATACTGCAAATTGTACTGATTACTATTATCACCACATAAAGTCGATTCAAAAAATACAAAGCCACTTTAACTTCACTGCTTACATCTACGAAATTGTTAAGTATGCTCATATTAACAAGGTGCTCATATTACCCTATATATATCTATATCTATATATCTACATCTATATATATATCTATATCAATATATCTACATCTATATATATATCTATATCAATATATCTACATCTATATATATATATATATATATATATATATATATATATATATATATATATATATATATATATATATATATATATATATATATATACATATATATATATATATATATATATATATATATATATATATATATATATATATATATATATATATATATATATATATATATATATATATATATATATATATATATATATATATATATATATATATATATATAGAAAAGTTGGGAATGTTTTTGCCATGAGTGAATAACGACACAGTTGCTATGAATGATTTGATTGAAAGTGCAGTGTTATTTTCTAGGAAATTACACATTGATGCAGAAAACGATTACGGAAGATAGCATGAATTAAAAGCAATGGAGATGAAAGTTTTTTATCGGAAAGAATTCAAAGAGGTCATAGACTCTTTAACCATCTTTAGTCAAAGAAGTCATAGACTCTTTAGGGTTTAACCGGAAACTCTCCGGCTTTAAAATAAATATTTGCCCCCATCACCAAAATCTTTAGTTTTCCGTTAAGTAAGGAAAATTTGAGTTTAGAAACCTTAATAGAAGCAAACAAACATTTTCCGCCTGGATCAAATTCTAGAGGTTCATGTGCTAAAAAGCCAGATATAAATTTTGATTGATTTTGATTTTAATTTTTAAAATTAATTTTTGAAAGCTGAAAGATAATACTATGAAACTTCAAATTTATCGATGAGTAAATATAGTTGAAATTAGTACAAAAATATTTCATCAACTTGTTGCTCTCACGTTTGGGGCAGGGGGGACAAAGTTTTGGGACTTTTTTGTGCCAAGCGCCATTCATCGCAATTTTTTGCAAAGAATCCTTATTTGACATAAGTATAACCATATAAATTTTTTTTTTTTTTTAAAAAAAACACGATACTTTTCAATCTTGACATGTTTCGTAGTTTAGATACTACATTTTTATAAGCTAAAATTACAATTCAAAACCCTGGAATATAAAATCAAAATTGAAAGACATTACAGAGAAATTTTTAAAAGTTAACACCTTTGATAAGTTTTTATATAAATTGATTAAGTTAAAACACCTGTTATAGTATGTAAGGAGTCTACAAACTGGAGTGTTTGTGTGGAAAACTCTATGTTGGTGAAACAAAACTACGGTTTCAACTCGCATTCGCCAACATCAAAAACACACTCTTGAGGAAAAATAGAAAGATTTTGGCTGTGGTGGGGCATTCCAGAATTGCCATGCTGCCTTTGACTAGAATAAAAGCAACACTGTTAAAGTAGAGATTTTAAGAGAAAAGTGAGAGAATCTTTGGAAATCCAGTATCACTAGTGTTCTCCAAATGAAGGTGGTGTGAATGAAGGCGACAGTGATTACAATACCTTGTGTTTACAATACTTTTGTTTAAATACGTTTACAATACATACTGATTTTTTTATGATTTAATAAGGTTTTTTTTAAGCCATACTGACGTCATCTTTTCAAGTCATACTGATATTTTCATACAATGTCTTTCTGAACAAACATTATAAACTGTTAATAATTTTTTTGCAGAAATAAACTTTGAACCGTTAGCTGATCATACAGCAACACCAGTAGGCAAAAAGACGTCTTCTGAACGTTCAAAAGACGTCCAAAACGTTCAAAAGACGTCATAAAACGTCCAAAACGTGTATAAGACGTTTAAAAGACATCTTTTTTACGTCTGTGTCCACTGGGATACTTTTAATACAGTTACGTTCTAAAGTTGAGTTTGATGAATCAACTTGCAAAGCATTTATACTTAAATAACAGTTGAGTAAGAAAACAGATTTTTTTAGAAAGAAGCTAGCTTATTTATATCTTGTTTTATTACACTTCAGTTATCTGAATACAAAATTATTTGGTCTAATCCGTATCCATCATAAACTCTATATTGCATACCAATAAAATTTTTTATCAAATTTTCTAATTGACTCTTAACTTAAATAGACAACACTGCTACAAAACAGCTGAGAAATATGTAAACCTATATTCCTGATATCATATGCTACAGATTCTACATCACATTTTTTATCCATAGTTGGAATATGTTTGTCTAATTGCATGCTCAGTGAACAATTTTTCAGAAAGTGTTTGCGTTCAAAAACAAATGATGATTTATTAAGACAACTAATGTTATTCCGTTTCCACACCAAAGCTGTATTTATTCCTCACATTACCACGTTTAACTTTATCATCTTTATATAAGTGTTGGACCTTTCTTTTCGCAGCCATGTTGCGTCTTCCAAATTGGTATTAACAATTTGGAAAACAGCACCCGCTAAAAATCTTGCATCATCTCTAAAGAACTTGCATCAACCCACACCTTTTCCTCCTAACCATGCACAGTCAAATCTTCACAACTACTTTTAAACTCAGCACAGATTTCTTCAAGAATACATTTCACATTCTCATCAAAAACTTCAAAATAATAGCTCTTTTTTCAAAAAATAACAAACAAATCTTAGCTAACTGCATACTGGTAAATAATCTACTATTTGTTCACAGACCAAAAAAATAACTTTTTCAACTCAATTCTCTTTAGAAAATATCAGTTTGTTACCAACATTTCGCACACATAAACCCAAAACACGGTACCCATCATCTTTTTATATATATATAAAAATATAATAAACTAATCTTTTTTATAGAGCTCTTCATAACAATAATAGTAAAATATGGTAAATAAATCAAGTAGAAAGTTTAGCTAAAAATAGTAAAAAAAAAGATATAATATTTAAAAATACAAATAGTGAAAAAAGAAGTTACATTATTTCAAAGTAAAAATAATTGCAACTAGCCAAAAAAGGAAGATATATTATTTAAAAATAGAAATAGTCACTAATAGTAAAAAAAAACAAAAAAACAATATTTAAAAATACAAATTTTCACAAAAAAACATATATAACATATAAAATGTTATATAAAATTTAAAATAATATTTAAAAATACATATAAAATTTGTAAATAATATTTAAAAATACAAAAACAAAGAGTCCAATAAGTAATATTAAACAATATTAAAAAAATTTCATTTTAAACAAATTTATAAAAAAAATTATTTTGTAAGGTATTCCTCAGTTTTCAACTGGAGATAAGTTTTGCATAGATCTATGATTGCAGATTTGTTTCCCATTCTGCTCCATTCTCTCAACTTATCAACGCACACATCTGCATCTCTTGTATACGCTTCAATGAAATTGTTAGCTTCTTTCCTATTCAAAATGGGTTGAACTTTATTATCTTTATTTCTTTAAACCACAGCTGTAAAGGAAAGTTATCCTTTGGGAGGTCCCATCACATTTTCATTATACTCAAGTAGCTATTTCCGCTTGATCTAATCCTAAAGTTCACCGGTTTAGCATATTTTGGTATCTTGTATTGAGCAACTTTATTAATCAGTTGTTCAGGTCCGTCTCGATCTCTCCATTTCCATTTGAATTTCTATTCGATGTCATTAAACACTGCTTCATGATCTTTCTTTTTAATTTCATTTTTATCAACTTCATTTTCGTTTAAATCTACTATTCCACAACAGCTAATTCCAAACTTTGCCATTCCTGATAAAGATCCAAAATATTAGTGAACCTTTCAATCAAATTCAACACCTTTGGAGAGTTTAAAATTTTATTTTGATTTTTAGACAAAAACTTATGTTTTAAAATTATCTTTGAACATCCCGAGTCACCATAGATGCCACCATACCATTAATTTTCAGACAAATAATAAATAGGGCGGAAAAAATTTGTAAACAAATTTGTTTATTTCTCACAGTAAGTTAGACAAACTTCAATTTTGAAAAATTAAAATTCACGAGAAAAAAAATTAAGATTTTTAAAAGGTCGACGATTGTTTAATTACGTTGGAAGTTTTCATTCTTATCAGTGGCTGATATATATTTTCTGATCTTTAGTTTTAAGATTATTTTTTGATATATATTTTTTAGTTTTAAGATTATTTGATGATAACAACTAAGCAAGAGGGAAAAATTTTCGAAAATTAATTAACGTCTTCAAATTGGTAATTTTTACATATAAACACAACACTCAAATTAAATTTTTTTGTCTTTTTCTTAACTCAAGGAGAACTTGTTTTTTAAAAATTCTTCTGACAATTTATTTTAATTTATAAATCTCAAAAAAAATTATGAATCTCACGTTTATAATTAAAGTTATAAATACATTAAATGTAAAAAAAAAGTAATTATACTTTAATGAATTTAAATATTGAATTTTACATGATCATTAAAGTTTAATTTATGAGAAAACATGTTTTAAATTTAAAGGGGTGTGCCGTTTACACGTCCGCTCAAAAATCAGTGAATCTGTCTGCTGAAGCATCAATGTTTTTCAAAAAAGCGAGTTTACTCAAAACTTTTTATACAAATTCGCCTTTTTAAAAAACACTGGTTCATCTACCGCCTTTTTAAAAGACACTGATACCAACTTAAATTTAAAACATGTTTTATCATAAATAATACTTTAATCATCAAGTAAAACATTATAATTAAGTTAATTGAGTATAATTACGCAAATTAACCATTAAAGATAAATACAGCTAAATGTACATGTATTGCCTGGCCAATAGAGATTGACAACGAAACGTACATCAATTGACGGTAAAAGTTACAGCAGGATTTAGTCATGGTTATTAGTGTTTAAAAGAGGGGCGTCATTTACTCGTGTGCCTATAAATTTGGGGTCGCAAATTGAATTACCAGTATTAATATGATTAAAAGAATACAAATATAAGATAAATACTTATGAATAAAATAATTAACAAAAACAAGCACAAATTTATTTGTAAAAATCAGTCTATAATTACCATTAAATCTAGTTACAAACCTACCTACTACCATAAAGAAAGACTATTATATATTGTTATTATAAGAGAGTTTATTAAATTAAATATTAGAAATAATAACCACCTAAAAATTAAAATAAAAGTTATTAGTAATAAATGTTTTTTATAACACTAACATTAGTAAACTAATAATATAATTGCAAAAACATTTATTTATTTTTTTAATTAATTTTTTGATCGATAATGTTCAGCTGAAAGTTTGATTGGTCCAGAAGTTGTGACTTCGCTGTTGTTGGTGATGAAACATAACCATTAACTGTAGAAACAAATAATGCTTTTAACTTTTGTCTATATTTAGCATCAAACACAGAATAAATAATAGGATTGATTGCTGCATGAAATCCATAAAAAATTTCAAAAATCAGTTTTAAAAAACGTATAGTTTTTTGACTTTTAAAATTCTCCAGACCATACATATCATTGATAATCCAAACTATTCTATTAGGAAGAACAAGTATAGCAAACATTATCAAAACCATAATTAACATTGTAACTGTCTTCTTATTTTTCTCAGAACGAGATTTTTTTGCTACGTCATTTAAAATATTGCTATTAAGATATGATTTCCTGAGATATAAAACAAGTCTAGAATAAAAAACACTCATCAAAACTATCGGCAAAAGATAGTAAAAAATAAATAAAACCCATGTGTATACGCGCGAGCTTTTTTTATCCCATTCTTCTGAACAAGTGTTAAATTTTCCTAATTTAAGAGTGATCAGTGGAGGAGCAACTGAAAGAATACCAAAAAAGACGTTCAAAAATTTAATCACTTGAAATCTTAAGTTGTTTAAAGTTGAACTAAACAAATGTACAATCCCAATATATCTTTCAACAGCAATTAAAACGATGAACCCTACAGCAATATTTGCACTAGCAGCTAAAATAGCACGAAGCAGTTTACATAAAAATAAACCATATACCCAATGACACGTCCATATTTCGGGTACCGTTATTATAAGTTGCACAAATGCAAACACAAAGTCAGAGATTGCCAAGCTAATTACTAAATTATGAAATCTTCTAAACTCATTATTATGAGTGAGCGAAATCCAAATAACAAAACTGTTGCCGATTAATCCTAACGTTGATGATATTATATTGCTAATGCTTGTTATAGTGTATAAAAGACTGTCGCATCTAAACTCAGTTGTTTTGTTAAATAAATGAAAATCGCATATCTCTTTCGTTTTGGAGTTTTCTTTGTTACATGTACAGTTTTCTTCTGGTATTTTAAAAAACTCACACATTTCTTCAAGGGACATAAATGAATTATTCGTTTTTGCAAAACTCTCATTTGTATTTTGATCAATCAGGTGTAAGCTTGCATTTGAAAAACTACTTGAATTAAACATTTCTCTCGTCATTAAATGTGCGCTGTTAATACACGTAATACCAATCAGTAATGTCACCATAAAAGCAGTCATAATTAAATAGCCTAAATTAACAACAAACTATTATGATGATATAAAAAAAATTATCTCTAATAATTTAACACAATTTATAAATATCAATTAATTATTGTAATTTGACACCTTGGTGATATTTTATTGATATATACTAGAGTTGTTCGCCGAAAAACAAAACTTGCGAAAATTTCGCATCTTCATCTACCGTAATAGAATTATTATTGCGAATGTTGCACATGCGAAAATGCACATTCCGTAACGCATTATACGAAAATATAAATAAATAAAATTGCGTAATAAAGCATTGCGAAAGAAAACTTGCGAAACAAACCATTTCGTAAGAATACTTACGAAATAGTTCCGTACGGAAGAAGCATTCCCGAATGTGCAGTTACGAAACGTCAAATAGCCTGCTGCCGGGGGCTTCAGTATATACAACGACTGACAAATAGCCTGACTCGCAGTGGAGTGCTGCTACATCGACTGAGGGTTTGGTATGGGTCAGCAACCTTTTCATTTATTATTCTTCGTTATATAAGTCCGATAAGTTGAACTCTCAATGGGAACAGATAAATAATATGACTTAGGGAATGTTCGAGTTAAGCGTAGTTCTTGGTATTTATAGAACGTTCAAGGAAAATTGAAAAACTTTCCAACTTAGTAAAAGAGGCTGTCTATAATTGATGTCTGTAATTTTTCTCAATTTTTAAACCCCCTCCCCTCTATATCAAACTCTGTCAATTTTTGGCAAAACCCCCCTTATATATGATGTAAGATTTTGTACCCCTCCCCCTAAAGTAACATTAAAAATATGTAAGCGCCATTGATTTTTTCTGGTTAAATTATACATTTGTATCTCAACATATTATATTATAGATCAGTTGGTACCTCATCAAATAATAAACAAACTATCACTCATCGTCTTCCCATGAGTTGTTAAAGTGTTTTTCGATAATAATAACAATTGACTTTATGTGTTTACTTTAAAGCACTTTTTAAAATCCGCTGGGATCGAATAATGATTGTTAAATTTATATACAAATTGTAAATAATTAGATTTTCAGTCAAATGGTAATACAATAGTAAAACGTTGGTAAATTTTTAATTTATATCATGTCTCTAGGAAACTTACATCGAATTCCCCACAAAGCAAATATGCTAATTCTATACCACATTGTAAATGTAAATACCTTTAAAATCTGCTCGTATTAGCCAAATTCATATAACACGGTTTGTAGGAAAAAAATTAAAATGGTAACATTATAAATAACAAAAAAACCGTGTGAAGTCTATTATTGTATATAGATAGTTTTGTTTATATAAATTTCAAATCTTTTTCAATAAAAATGGTGACTTTAGTTTAAAATTGTATTGTGACCAAATGTGATCATGATCTCAATACATTCCAACTGTTTTAAAAAGTTTTTTGTTTTGTTCTGAATAGCTTCTACACGTGGAAGGCGATAAAATCTTATTGGTTTCCCATTTGCGTTTTTAGAATGTCTTTTCATTTGAAAATCTAGGATAGCTAAGGCTGATAATTTAAACTTTTTTCTGAATAAAAAACACAAACAAAACAGGTTTAAGAAGGTTTAAACAAAGCTACGATTTTTATTTTTTTCCCTACAAATAAACCCAGGTTTCTGACGTGAATTTGGCTAATAAATTTGAATTTTTTTTTCTTAAATAGAAATCATTTTGGTCTCAACATTCTCAATTCTTGTCGAACTTTTCAGTACCCCCTCTCCCTTATATTTATCCTCAAACTCAAACAATAATAAAACAATGCGTAATTCAATAAATAATTTTGAAAATGTAACAAATTAACTCGTCTCAGTCAGAAATAATTATCAGTTAGACTTTTTAAAGTATAAAAATCTTTCATCAAATGGTGTTGCTTCGGTTGGAAATGTAAAAAATACAAAAAATCAAATAAAAAATGTTAACAATGACACTAAAATAATCAATCCTCGTAATAACCAAACAGATGACTATAAATGGCCAGTAGGAACGACGCTAATATGTGGAGACTCCATTTTGATGGGGATTAACGAAAAAAAATGCATAAGCTAGGAAAAGTAAAAGTATGAGTATTTAGTGGTGCTGCTATTGAAGACATGCATTATAACCTAGTCTCACTTTTGAAAAAAGAACCTTCAAAAATTATCCTGCATGTTGGAACAAATAATTGTACAAATGGTTCGTCTGAATCTGCTTTGGCAAAATTAAAAGATCTTGTTTCCTTCATTTCAAAATCTAACCCTTCATGTTCAATAATTTTATCTACACCAATTCGTCGTTTCAGTATTGCTAAAGCTCAATTAACGTCGCTACACTTAGCCGAAAAATTAAAACTAACTAAATTTAATATTATTGATAACTCTAATTTGTCTAATGAACTCCTTGGACTACGTGGTCTTCACCTAAACACACGAGGATCAGGTAGACTTGCCATAAACTTTATTGCATATCTGAAGTCTATTTGATAGACATTCCCCTATAGATTCTTATCACCAATCTACCTTACCAAGTACTATTGAAGAAATTAGTCTAAATTCTGATTTGGATAATTTAAGCGCCAAATATCCAAAAAATATCAGTTTAGCATTTTTAAATATTAATTCAATTCGTAATAAATTTTCAGATATTATTACCTATATAAATAAAACTGTTGATATACTTATATTAGTTGAAACCAAGTTAGATGACTCCTTTCCAATAAATCAATTTTTATATCCAGGTTAAAAAACGCCTTATCGGCTTGATATCTCTCAGCATAGTGGAGGCCTTCTTGTATACATAAATGAAAATATCATTTCTAAAAGATTAGCTAAAAAGGATTTCCCCAAAGACATTCAAATTATCACTTTTGAAATTAAATTAAGAATGCGGAAATGGCTCATAATAGCCACTTACAAACCCCCAAATCAGAATTGTGACTATTTCTTCAATAACCTTAAAGGAGTGCTTGACTTTTATTTGCAATCATATCTTGATTTTGTTCTAATAGGAGACTTTAATATACAACCTTCAGAAAAAAAATGAAGGAATTCCTTCAACTTTATCAATGTATTAATTTAATTAAACAACCGACTTGTTTTAAATCGGTCAATAACCCTTCCTGTATAGACCTTATCCTTACTAACAGAAAGCTGAGCTTCCAACATTCAAATACCTTTGATACGGGTGTGAGTGATCATCACTATTTAATATACACTATGCTAAGATCCACTTTTTGTAAATTACCACCTAAATAACTTATATATAGATCGTTCAAAAATTTTTCAAGTGAGATTTTTGCAAAAATACTCCGTTTCAACTTAAAATCTTGTTATGATATTAGTACTTTTAATGAGATATTCAGCAATTTGCTTAATAATCATGCCCCTCTTAAATCAAAAATTCTAAGAGGTAACAATAAACCTTTTATAACTAAAGACTTACGAAAAGCAATTATGCTTTGCTCTTCATTATATAAAAAATTTTTAGTTGATAAATCAGATTTTTCAGCTCTAATGTACAAAATACAAAGGAATTTGGTGGTTAAGCTTAACCGAAAAAATAAGAAGAAGTACTTTGAGCAAATCAATACACTTTCAAATTCAAATACATCTCTCTGGAAGCTAACTAAGCCTTTCTTTTCGGATAAATCTACAAATTCTAACGAGCGTATCACTTTGACTGAAAATGGCAACATTATCTCAGACAGTTCTTTGTTGACTAATATTTTTAATAAATATTTCATAAATGTTGCATTGCCATCAAGTATGGCCGACCATATTAAATGGTCTTTTTCTCCATGCACTTCAGACCCAGTTGAGTCAGCTATTAAAAAGTATGTTGACCATCCTAATATAAGAAACATTAAAAATAAATTCAAAATGAATGCACATAATTTCAAGTTCCATTGTATTACACCTGATGATATTACACAAATTATAGGGTCTATGAATGAAAAAAAAAAACAAGTGGTGAAATACCAACTTTTATGTTAAAATCTTACTTAATATACTTTAGGGATAGTCTTACAGATTGTATCAATAATAGCATCTTAGATGGAACATTTTCGTCATTTCTAAAAATGACGGATGTTTTACCGTGTTTAAAAAAAAAATGACCCAACAGATAAGGCTAACTATCGCCCTATAAGTATTCTACCTGCGCTCTCCAAAGTTTTTGAAATGATCGTTTATGAACAGATTTTGTTATTAATGGAACCAAAATTTGACAAACTTTTGTGTGGTTTTCGTAGAGGTTATAGTACTCAGCATACACTTATTTTTTTACTTAATAAGTGGCATGAATGCATTAACAATGGAGGTATTGTTGGAACATTATTAATGGATCTATCTAAAGCGTATGATTTCATTCCGCATGACCTACTTATTGCTAAATTAGAGGCGTATGGTTTCTCTAAAGAAAGTCTTAAATTTCTTATATCGTATATTAGTGGTCGTAAACAAAGGGTAAGGATAGGACCATCTGTTTCTAATTGGGTTGATATTTTGTCGGGAGTGCCTCAAGGTTCCATTCTTGGCCCCATTCTCTTTAATATCTTTATAAATGATATATTCTTCTTTAATAAAGATACTGATTTGTGCAACTTTGCAGATGATAATACGCTGTATGCCTGTGATTACAGCTTAGAAAAGGTTATTTTTCGATTGCAAAAAGAAGCAACTAATACGATTGCCTGGTTTAAGTTTAACTCGATGGTTGCCAACCCTGATAAATTCAAATTACTTTTAGTTGGTTTAAAAAACACAAAAAATCAATACCTAAAAATAGGTAATATAACTACTGTTTTTGCCTCTGATAGGGTGAAACTACTTGTTGTTAAAATTGATAAGAATCTAAATTTTGGAGAACACATTAAATACTTATGTAGTAAAGCTAATGATAAATGTTTTGCTCTTTCACGCATAAGAAGTTTTTTATCCCGTAATAAAGCTACATTGTTGTTTAACGCTTTCATAATGTCAAATTTTTCTTATTGTCCCCAAATATGGATGTTTGGTTCTAAATACTA